CTCTTATTCTGGACCATGAGGCCTCTCATGGCCCAGCCTCTGCCTGCCTTTTAATTCAACTCAACTCAATTCAATTCAGCAAACAGCCCCTGGTGTCCTCCATGTGCTAGGCTAACCTGGAGATATGAAATCAAAGGATCTCAGCTCAGAGGAGAGACAGATGAGGAAATATGCAGCTGATGCAGTGCGATGGGCTTAGGAGAACCACAGGAGGCCTTGGAAACTCAACCTGTTAGTGGTAACTCCTATGTGGAATTAGTGCAGGACCAGGGCTACAGTCAAATCTCCAGCTCCAGGTCCAGGGCTCTTTCCACTACTCGATGCAATCTGGCCAAAAAGATCTTAGTCTTGTCCCATAGAATAAAGCAAAACAAAACAACCAGAAAAGACACAAGATGTACTTGGATGGGAGACCACATAGGAAGACCAGGTGCTATAGGCGTAAAAAATTAAAAATAAAGGATTGTAAGTTGACAAGGTCCTTGCAACCTGCGAGGTCAACCAAGGATTGCCTCGCCTAAAATTTTTTTAAAAATTAAAAAAAAAAAGACATAAAATGACCCATGATTAAAATACAAATTAAATATTATACAAAATGTACTTGGACGGGAGACCACCTAGGAAGACCAGGTGCTATAGGCGTAAAAAATTAAAAATAAAGGATTGTAAGTTGACAAGGTCCTTGCAACCTGCGAGGTCAACCAAGGATTGCCTCGCCTAAAATTTTTTTAAAAATTAAAAAAAAGAAGACATAAGATGACCCATGATTAAAATACAAATTAAATATTAAAATTCAAGACCTATAAAAGTTAATAGAGAGACAGTAAATCACAGTAAAACAAGATCATTTAAATGAACAGTAAGATCATCTAAAACAAGATCATTTAAATGATCAGTAAAACAAGATCATTGCATTTATGAGATGGAAACACAGGGAGATGGACCACACCCAAATATAGCCGTGTTGAAAGTCTACGCATGACTCATCTACTTTGGTCAGGTAACCCAGAACTGAGATAACAACTTACTTGCGGATGCTGATAGTACCACCTGGGCAGAGGGAAAATGGGTACCTGTGCCTTTGAATTCCGATATCTATGAAACATTAGAATAAAATTACTTTTAAAAATATAATGAAAAAAATGTACATGCTAAAGGTTTAAATTTTTTTCAAAGAGCAAAGAGACTAAATTTGAGAAGACATCAAGTGATTTCTAAGAGAACCCCAAAAGGAGATTGGGAGAATGTCATCTCAAAAATAAGACAGAGAACATCAGAGGAAAAGGAGCATAAAAGATTATCTAGCATACTCTGTTCTCAGGGGACAACATGGCTTTCAGTCCAAGAGAGATATTGTCTATGTTTGTTGGACCATGTTATCTAAACTGCAGGCTGCGAGCAGGGCAAGAAAGCATTTAGTGAGTCATGACAGTCAATTTCTTTTGAAACAAAGAAAGTAGAATCTAATAGAAAATATCAGTTGCATTTCATGTAGCAAGAGGAAGTACCGAGTTTTATGTATAACTGTGTTCTCACATGTGTTTATTGGTTCATGATATAATAAACATTTCACCGAGTGAGTTAGTGAAGAAGGTTTGAAAAACACTCTTCTAGAATACTTTCATTAGAAAGGGTTCTTTTTAAACATATGCTAAACACACTCAATTATGAATATTGACCCTTTTCCTCATTCTTGGAGTCTGTGCTAAAATTAAACAGAGAACGGGGGTGGAATATTAGAACTGGAAGGAGGAAACAAATTAGCAGAATGTAAATGAGTGGACTGATAAAAGACTAGAAGATGAGATCAGTGGGCTTTGGTCTTTTTTCCTAAGGCCTCCATGATAACTCCATCTTCACTGGAGCACTAAATACACAGTAGCTGCTCAATTATTACTTGTCCAATGACCCTCTAGAAGCCCCTGTCTTCTTTCTTTGTTAACACTTATCAAGCAATGTGATTGTTGCCTTTTTAATAATGTTGGTCTCTTCCACTTGTAGATGCTCCTTCAAGGCTGGGCTAATGTTTGGTCTACAGCTGCATCTACCTCTATGGCAGTGCCTGGCAAGTGCTCAAATTTTGGCTGGACTGAACTGAAGGGCATCAAAGGGCAATGAAGATCTAGTTCTTAGATCCATTTGATGCTTGAACCCCTTTTGCAAGAATAAACTGATTTCAGTTTATTGAGCAAAGAATATACTAATTAGAGAAAAACAGCTCTAAACTTAAATTTCCAGAGAGCAAATAGTTTAGACTTTCTTATGTATCTTAGTCCAGAGGTCAGGTTGACTCAAGAACCTGCATCAATCTTCTATGAATAAGAACCTCTTGAAATGTCCAGGATCCTAGGGACACACATGAGATGCTTTTTCTAGTCTGGAGAGCTTGAGTGGAACAACCACTTAGAATCCCTAGCTGCTGAGCTATTTCAAAGGTCCCATCCACATTGCTAACTGGAGCAGGCAGGATTCTCAGGAGGGTCTGAGGCAGAGGGCTGGATTTGGAGAAGCAGTCAATTGACCAAGTAATCAGCAATGAATCAAGCCCTTGTGCTTTCCCACAAGAAGCGAGGCTGAGGGGAAATGGAACAGGCCTGAGACATCATCATTTGCCTTCCTTGATCCTCTGCAGCTCCGTCAGACCTCCATGCAAAGGTGTCTAAACCCATCTTCTAACAGTGCAGCTGTTTAGGGTGGGTAGATAAGGATTTCCTGAGCAGGAGTATGTAAGGGGGATGGTACTGGTCGCCAGCCTAGATTTCTCAGAAAGGCATATGGTGAGTTATCAGTGGGAGGATGGGTAAAAGATGTCCTACACCAAAGGATCAATTAAAACTCAAATTCAAATTCAAAGGAGAGCCCACTAGTCACTAGTTAGCCTCCTTCTCAGCCAGGCAAACACTCCAATCGTTATTAACCATGGAAAGTCCTCTTTATCAAGAACACTGATTAAAGGCGGGGATGAATATCA